TAAACTTTTGTATGAGTATATGCACTGATATGGTGTACTTGAGTACTTCTCTTCTTAACCTTACTGTGTATTTTACAGTTCCAATTATAATAAATTCGTATAAATTAATTGATCTTGGCTCCATTACCTGTTGTATTTATTTAGATATTACCACGTTTCATTCAGTATGATAATGCTTCTTGAGCTCCTTCATTTGTCAACTGAAAGCGAATTATGGTTCGTTGTCCCTTGAATGCAATGAAGGGAAGTTGAAGTGTTTAAAATAAAAAAATTATACAATCAATAAAATTGAAATACATGTAATAATTATTAATTACTGACAAAAGTTAAGAAGTTCTGATTTGATTCCATCAGGCGATGTACTCTATTTACAACGCAAATAAAATAGGAGCTCTTCTGAGCGGAAGTCGACATTCATAGCTTATGCAGGCGAAATTGCTGTGTGCATTAGGAGTAATGATTACATGAAACTTATTAAACAAGCTCGAAAGCTTTTTTAACATCACCGAAAAGATTCTCCATCGATTCAGCATCGATGGGAATGCTTTGAAAACAGACGACTTTTTACTCATAAGCTATGAACAAATAATTTAAATTGAGAATAGAAAGTCCTTAGTATCCTTAAAAAAATACTTTTGGGAAAGGTATTGAGAAAAATGGTATATCAATCTTGTCTAATTGGGAAGAAGTCATGGGTGTACCATACGAGTATATCTCAGCTAATTTCTCAAATTTATATACCACATTTATTTTAGTCTCTTATCTTCTTACAATAGTTTCTTTTTAGACTTTAAGAAGACCTCCAGAGCAAATTAAAACGTAGTTATAGTTTGCTATAACGTAGATCAAATAGCTTAGACTATTTAATATTTTTTTCACCGCCTCGGCGCACAGTGGTGCAAAACACATTATTTTCGGAAAAAAACTAGGCACACCTTAGACATACGACTTCAAAACTGATATAGGCGTCATTTCATATGTATTTTCTTATTCTGAATCGAATGAAACAAAAAGTAAGTCGATAGCTTTACGCTTTCTTGTTGTTTTAAGAATAGTATGTTTTAAATGTTGATAAATTCTGAATACAAATTAATTTGATGATTCAAGTCAACACTATTGGGCAAAAATTTTGAACATTAGAAATATTGAAATAAAAACTGGCTTAATAAATGTTTAAATATATAGATTTATAATAATTGCATGATATGTAACTAAAGGTTCAGGCATAAATATTATTTGTTTTAAAAAACCGATATTTTCCTTCGAAAAAAGTATCTTAATTTTAATATTGTTGTGTTTTATTATATTTTCACCAAATTAGTCTCTGAAAATTATTATTACATAAAAAAAAAAAAGTTTAAGCTATATTATTCCTGTATTTATTTTTTGAACCTGTTAAATTTCCATAAAATTCAGATTGAGGACCAAGGCGATTGTGGAAGGATAGTAGAAGGTTTAACCTTCCCCAATAACTTCAAAACGCAAATAATAAGTTATAAAATTTGAGAATCTATTTCAAATTGAGAAATTAAGGTAGAACATTTTACTAAAAGAGTTACCAAAATTACCTTTTAGTCTAAGAAAATAAAATTTTACTGACAAAATGTTTTTGAATTCGATACACACTAGACCACTTAGACAGAATTGTTGAGAAATTTAATTTTTTTGAATTGTTGTTCTAATTTTAAAACAATCAGCTTTTTGATAGATTAAATCATGGAAGATTTCTATTTTTTACTGAATGAAACACCTTTTTTTTTTCTTTTTTTTATTATTAAATCAAAATCTAGCGTAATATTTTGTGCAAAAATTTCAGATAATCTTTTATAATGTTCCACTCGAGTACGTCCAGTAATGACTGCTATTGTCTTTAATAGATCTGCTCTTATTCATATAAATACTAGCTTTATCCGGCCATGCGCTGCTGTGGCTTAGCCTGGCACAATGAAAAAGAAAGAAAATAGAAAGCACATATGAGTAGATTAATAGCAAAGGACATCTGTCATTTTTAAAAAGTTGGGAAACAAATTTGTCTGTAATGATAATTTCAATTACTGTAGTGATTATAAAATTTTGCTTGCCGCCCTTCGGTAGTGAGGAAGCAAAAGGAAACGACCTTCTCTGAAGAGAAAGCAGTAAATGTTTAAAACTCTATAACTCTGCAACGAACCGTCCGATTCCGTTGATTTTTTTTTTTTTATTTTGTCGGCAAATCAGGAATCTTTCAAATAAATATGGGTGTTATCAATCAAAACTGTGTACTTTTTTAGCTATCGGCAAATAGAATATTGAATTCATCGTAACATTTTTCAGCTTGTTTTCGGGAAAGTATGTTATACACATAAATTAAAAGGGTTTCAAGTGGAAGACTTTAGCCAAGTTTCGTTAAAATCGGTAAAGCCGTCTTGGCGCTACAGTTTATAGCGACACATTTTTTGAACAGAAAACATTTACATTTTTATTTTGTTTACATATATAAAATTATCGTAAGACAGAAGTACTATGCCAGAAACCTTCCCAGGAGTGTACGGAACATCTTCCCAAAGTTTCATGGCGATCGGATGAATGGTTTAGTAATGCACAAAAGACAAACAGACATACATTCATTTTTATACATATAGATGATTAAAGTACTAACTGTCAAGAAAAAAGTATATGAATAATAATAATTAATGTGAAAAGGTAATTGGTTGAATTTCCCAGCTAGCAATTTCTTTACTTGACATGAAATATTTACACAGAAAAATCACTCGTACCTTTAAATTTATTGTTTGTAAGACAGAAGTACTATGCTAGGAACCTTCCCAGGAGTGTACGGAACATCTTCCCAAAGTTTCATGGCGATCGGATGAATGGTTTAGTAATGCACAAAGGACAAACAGACGGACAGACAGACATACATGCATTTTTATATATATAGATGATTAAAGTACTAACTGTCAAGAAAAAAGTATATGAATAATAATAATTAATGTGAAAAGGTAATTCTTTACTTGATATGACATGTTTACACAGAAAAATCACTCGTACCTTTAAATTTATTGTTTCTAAAACTACTGTCTTATCATTAATTATTAACCATTAATTTGTGTTTTTAAGCGCTAAATAGAGGTAAACTCGATGAAATAGTTATTGGACTGTTTATTTAGGGATGTTAAGGAGAGATGGTACATTACAATTTTGATTGGAATACTTTAATTCATTGTTTTTTTCCTCTTCTGAACTGATCCATTTTAGTCCCAAAGTAGATAAAATGTATTGGAGTATGTTTTGGTAATTTAAATATTTTTTTAAGAAAACATTTTTAGTAGTCTTTCCACGGCTTCATACTTTACCCCACCCCAGATTTGTGCTCAGCTCTGTGTTGATTGGCAGATACGCTAAACTTGTAGATTGGCAAGGTCCGTTGAGGTAAATCAAAAGAGGGCGGGAGAGCGCGTAGGCGGGGGCGGTTGAGGTTGGGGCGGGCAGATAGCTCCCGCGTCGGGGCCAGGTATCGAGCCAGTCGGCTCCCTGCCGCAGGACCGGGATGCTCATCCGGTGGAAGAACAAGGAGAAGGCCTCTAAGACGGCCTCTTCTTCCACTAGTGGCAAGAAGAAGAGGAAGTTCGGCAGGGAAGGTGAGCCAACTCTCTTCCGCTCTTCTCTCCCCTTCCAATTGTCGTCATTATCTATGATAGTTTATACTTGTTATAAATTTCCTATTTCATGTTTATTTCTATGTACGAACATTGAGTGGAAGCCTTGCATTCCATAACCGTTGAGTATCTCATGGTTGCCTTGTTTCATCTCCCGAAAGACTTGGATAGTAGGAAGGGGTGAACGTACGTAAATGAATAGAGAATAGATGATGACTTGGGACCATGCGCACTACACCCCATCTCTTTTATATAGTGCTGCACCCTGCACGACATGCACCATCCTCTTTATTCTTTATTGCACTTAATTATATGTTGCTTCAAATTAAGCTCCAATATTTGGATTTTCGTTGCACGCCTGCTGAATATCGAGTACGATAACCTACGCCCTTTGCCACTCCCACTCCCTCCTTTTACTATTACCTCGCTTTTATTAGAATCATACCAACTTTAATCAATAATCAACTAATAATTCTAATAATCCATTATTCTATAATTTTTTTTTAAATCGGCTTTATTGTGTCAAGATTAAAAGATAAAAAAAAAATTCTGGTATAATAATTACTGTTATACATCTATGAATATACTTATTTAACCATATTATGCCAGTCTATCTAGTTCTAAAAAATTATCAGTATTCAGATTTTAAGCACAATTTTTATATTGAAACTTATTATATTAATTATAATTAAAAAAAAAACGATGTTTAAATATTACATCCTAAATTCTTTTGTATTTAAAATTAATATGTTTTATGAAATGGCATCTTAATCACTCAATGAATAACGTTGAGGAACGAACACTGCGCAGGATTGTTTAGTAAATAATTGTTACTTTTTCCATTTGCTCCTTTTTAAAAATACGAATTTGAAATCGTTATATACTAATATTGATTACATAATGTATCAATAATAAAAAATATATTTGATACACTGAGCTGAGACCAGGTGATCCAGCGAACTGTGTACCCGCCCAAATCCCAACTTGTGCCATCAGCCACTCCCCACTCTACTGATTTTTAGACTTCTCTTGTTTTTCATAGATTTAGCATTTTCATCGTGGCTTATTATTATTTTTTGTTTACTTCATAAACTGCCTATTGTTTATTCTTTATTGATATTCTTAAAATTTTAACCATCCAAAAAAAAAATCATAAAATAGCGTTGTGTCCTGTGAAGTAACTGTACCAGACCACCTATGAGACGTTTAAAATTATATATATTACAATCGAACGTTTAAATGTATTATTTTTTTATATGTTTGTTCAATATATTAATTTTCATATAATATAAAATATTATATTTTTCACAATTGTCTTATACATTAAAAACAGTATATTTTTTATATATCCCAGAATAAAGATTATTTTATTTTCTATTCTATTTTATTTCTTTATTAATTCATTCCCATTGGCAGAATGCACATGGTATAAATTATATTCATAGAGAGCACATTGTTTTTTCATTAACAATGCTGTACATTGTAATACCACATACAATATATAGCATTTTTAATGAAAAGGAATGTGGTTGTTATAAATATAGGTTATACCATGTCCATTCGGTCAATATACTATATAGGTATTCATAGGTACTTATGAATGTATTTTAGATGCCTTTTTTTTAATTTATATTCAACATTAATTTAATTTTTTCGTTGTAAACTAAATTTGTTATTATACTTTATATACATATATATAATAATAATAATAATATCTCCTTTTATTTGTGAAGTTCACATATTGTTTTACTTCTATCATTGCACTTTATTTATTACTATTTTTTTTTTTTTAAACTTATTTATTGAAAAATATTACAATCTGTCTCTAGGACATTTCTAATAGAGTTCACAGATCACATTCACACTCTATGTACAATAAATAAAATAGAATTACTATTTAACACCATCATTATGATTATTTTTCAATTGGTCTTAATTATATATATATATATATATATATATATATATATATATATATATATATATATATATATATATAATAAACGAACAAAAAAATAATTAATTGTATATTAATAAATAATCCAATTATTTTTGGATCATGTGCAGATATTTATCAAACTATTATTCTATTTATAGAATTAATATTAAATTATATTATATAAATGCCACATTTTTTAGTAGTTTATATATTTTTTTAACATTGGAGAAAATTCTGTATTACAAAGATAAATAATACCAAACAAAACCCATTGGCGGCGATATCATATTTGTTATTTATACCAATTTAAAGGAATTTTGTTTTTAATGTTAGAAATGAATTACAAGTATCCTTTTAGCTTGTGTTGATTATTTGCATTTATGCTTTAGTTGAGGACCTGTAGGCTATTAATGGAAAATTTGTTAACGAGTTTACCCTTTGTACAATTTCATTAAAACCGTAATTATTTCAATAATGAAAATCTTTAAAATAAGTTTCGAAATTATTTACAGCCTAATGTAGAAAATATTAACTCCCAGGGCTCGATTCGAGCCGAGGTTTGATAAAAAAAAAATGTATCCTATATTATAAATAGGTTTTTTTTTTTTTTCCAATCACTTCCATTCCCACCATGCCAGATTCTGAATTCTCATTTTGCATATTACAGGTATTATTTTATAAATATATTTTTTACTAATTATCGTAGTTATTTTAATTATTGAATAGGAAATATTTTATTTTTCGTAAAGGTATTTAGCTTATGATGGAATTTCACTGTTATACAACAAGTAACATTAAAAAACCCAAATTGAACTTCCTAAAGTTCCCTATGCTTAAAATCTAGAAATTTCTACACAAATGGAGGTACAAAACTAAAGTACACAAATGAAATTTGAATATTTTTTTTCAGTTAAACATAAAATTTATAGAATAGGGATTGAATTAGGAATCCTCATTGTGGAGACGATTTTCAATATTTAATCAAGCTGCTAAGTCTACTGCGAAGTCTGTTATCACATCTGAGTGGGCGCTTAGACAAGCGTTTGACTCTTTGGAAGGGTCAGCGAAGATTTGGAGCGTGATCCAATAAATTCCAGAAAATTTCTGAGCTCAGGAACTCGCTTGAAGCAAAGGTAATGTAATGTAATGAAACCATTAGGCGGTAGCTTAGTCGTATTGGCATTGCTGGGCACTTTAAAACTTTTTAAGAAAAAACGTTTTTATAAGGTTTCGGTGGGTCATGCTAAAAATTGGGATCGTGAAGGAAGACACGACCAGGTTCATATGTCCAAAATTATGAAGTATCAACATTTAAATCGATATCTTCTTTTCCACATTTTACTGTATCGAACTATTGATTTTGTGAATTATAAGTTTTATTCATTTTTTTTTTAATTTTTAAATTTTTCTGCATTTTATTATCATTTAATAATATTTTTAAATTTTACTGTAAAATTATTGTTATCAATTATATACTCAATGGAAATGGAAGGAACTACAAGCAGTATTAATAGTTTTGAAATTAACTATATGTATGATATAAAGATGAGTAGGTTATGGCTTTGTATATAAGCATATATAATATCAGCATATAGTATATATAAGCATTTTTTTTTTCATAGTAAGACATGAATATAAGAACAATAAAGTCTTGAAACGTCGCTAAAATAATTTCTTTTATTTATTGACTGAAACTCAAAATCCTTAGCCAAAATAAAAACTGTAACACTGCATTGAACCCATGGAGGGGCATCACAAACTTTAAAACTTTTAAAACAAACACAATTGTACCATAGAATATAACAATTAAAGAAATACATAAAAAGATATTTTTTTTTTCCATTTAGAAAGATATGCTACAAATGATAACATGATAGCTCAAGGGCGTACTAACCAAGTTGTTGATCGCCTAGTACAACTCATAACCTAACCTAACCCATGGAGGGATTTGGGTTCCGTACTTTGTAAGGTACCTTTTCTTAATCAACGGTTGTGCAAAGAAATGGGTGATTTGACCGATATCACGCTCAACTGTCATTCAAGTGTCAACTTCATTACCAATTAATTAAGGATAATGTAAGTAAGGGTAATAATCACTGTATTGAGATTCCTCATGCAGGTTCCCTCGAACCCAGAGTCGATCAACAGCTGGTGTAACAGAATAAATAATAACGTGCCACGACCTAAATCGAACCCAAGACTCGAATCATAGGAGCACTGTGGATACCGCTGAGCAACTCACTTCCCATCCTTAGGAGAATATATATATAAAAACTACATTAATACTTTACCCTCCCTCATATTAAATGATATTGAGACGTTGGATAGAATACATTTTATTTTCCGAAATAATCGAAACACAACAATGTAGTAGAAATATGTGTTTTCTGCTGCACAATTACAGTTGATGAAGTTGGAAAAGGTGGTACGACATTTTTCTGATTGGAGTCTGTACGTGGTAGTTTAGATGACGGGTACTGTCAAAGATTACTTGAAATCTGTTCACACGACGTACAGAAACACGACTTCCTATGCTCATATCTGTTAACTATTCGATGTTGTAAGCTGACTCAATAATGCCTGCATTATTGACTTTTGCTCATATACACTTATTATCGTGAGGATTTTGTATTATGTGTAAATCGTTTACTTTGTTGAATAGCGCTCATAGACCTGGGAGCGGTCTGATTTAGGCTCCTGTATAACTAACTGTGTACACAGCGGCAGGCAATTGTGTACCATTAGCTGATTGGATCTTTGGGCTCTTAGCTTAATATTTATAGAGCTCGCTAACAGCCTTCTATCTCAGAAAGCATTCTCGTAGGATTGTGACGCTGGTCTGAGTTCATTCTGGAATAGCAATTGCGTTAATACTCTTTAGTTCCATGTCTGGGAATTTATCGAAATTTTAAATTTCTTTTTAATTCCATAATTTACCAATCTTGATGATGTTGTGAATGAAATAAATATATTTATTTTGTTTAAATCGTATTTATTAATTCTGAGATGGATATGGGTTGGCACAAGGTTTTCAGTCATGGAGCCAGATTCGAATCCGGTGCAAGAAAACAAAATTATATTTCATTTCTCGTAAATTCCATTCCTTACCTGGAACAAGTCGATATTTATCTGACCTTTCGATATGTTGGAATTGTTAAGCACACCATATATTCTTACATTCCAACATTAAAAAGCAGTTAAGAATAAGACTGGACTTAGACAAGTAAAATAGTTAATCAAAAGTCCTTGTTCTTCTTGAACTAATTCGATATTATACTTAAACAGAAAATTAATTCGATTAATTATTGGTATAGACAGAGGCAACTAGAGACTTATAATAGAATTTAAGATTTGTAGGCTAGTTGATGATGAACTTTGCCACTTGTACAAATAAGCACCGGAAACTACACTATATGCTAACTACACTATTTTTATGCGGAGTTAAAGTGGCTTTATCCTTCCTACTTTCCTAAGTATTTCCTGGGATTCTTCCTCTTTCAAGTCGTCCAATCCCACCATCCCTCATACACCTCTAAGCTCCTTCAATTCAAATCCGCTGTTCGTTCCGGTCTTCTGATTTATACATAAGGGCCCACCGAACCGCTGCTTTCCACAAATCATTCATTATCCGATCCTCATCCCTATGGAACTCCATCCCTTCCCACATCCGTCAGTAGAATATCCTTCCTACCTTTAAATCCCGCCTGTTCAATCATTTCTTGTCCATCCAGTCCCCATAAAATTGTAAATAAATACTACTGTAAATATGTACATAAACTGTTAGCTCGTTCTTCATTATTTTTATCTTTATTCACTGATAATTAGAAAGTAACTGTATGTATATATTTATATATATATATATATATATATATATATATATTATATATATATTTTATATTTTATATATAGAGGAAGACTGAAATGTGGGCTAAAGAGCCTCAGAGATACATAAGTAAAAATAGAGAGTAATTGAATAGTCTTGGTGGAAAAAATATATATATATATATATTTAAAGGGACTCGTCCCAGAATAAATAAAGTATTATTATTATTATTATATAATAGAATGTCACCGATTTTCTTAGATTAGATCATCGGGTTAAGGCTTCTTTCATTATATTTCTCTGTTCTCATTTACTAGTTATACGTTTATTTTATTATATTTGTAAATTTCATGAATAAAAATAATATTGGTACTAAAGTTATTAAACGAAAGTGATCATCAGGTACCAAACGTTTTTCCAACCCGTAAACACTGGTTGAAATATTTTCAGCGCCATACATTTCTTCTCCTCTTCTCTTATAAGAGTTTTACAAAAAATATTCCTGAAATATGTTTTTTACCTTGGAAAATGTTCCTCCGTTTTTCTCCTTTTGTTAATTACAAAAATAATACCATTTAGGACTTTATATGCTCAATATGCCTTTTTCTAAAATCTTTAGTTTTCCAACGAAATATTACTAACCTCATTTCATGAAATCTGTTTTCCACCTTGGAAAATTTTTACTCTTTTCCTTCTTTTGTTCAGTCACAAAAATTGTATATAGTCGATGTTTAGGTTATCATTGTACTATACCGTTTTCTTATTACTATTAGCTACTCGATATTATTCGGTTTAAAAAAACAAAAAAAAAAAAACAAATATAGGTACTTTGCAGATGGGTATATAGCTGACTGTTGAAATTATAGGGATGAAAAATGGTGAGGATGTGCTGTCGAGATTTCTTTGATTCAACTACGTGTAGCCTTGACTGCACATCTTGACTATTTTTCATCGTTATAGGTACTTAACATGAGCAGTTTGAGGCAATAAGACCTACTTTATATTAAAAACTATTTATGGCGAACAAGCTGCTGTTACCTCCTATATCGTCAGGCCTATAACAGGTATATATCTTCCCTAAACAAGTCATTTCAGTTCCAGTTAACTCTTTGAGTTAATCTTCACAATGCCATTTTACGAAACTTGGTCGTTTGGACTCAGGTGGTTTTAATACGTGAATTTCTAATGAAAACTCAGATTTCGAATTGTTCACTAAAGATTTCATAAATAGGTAAGTAAATGTTATTACGGAATGAGTTATTTTGTTAAACAT